GTGTGCCACCTGCACCATCACCACCACTACCTCCGCCTTTGGCTTTTTCTGCTCGCGTGGGGTCTAATACGGTGAACGTTACTGGCTCGTCTTTCATGACGCCACAGGCCAAACCGGCCTATCGGGCAAGGAACATCCCAATCAACACCCCGGCCCACAACCACCGTTCTGTATTTGCAAAGATCAAGGACCCCTCTGTCCTCAACGACGACGACCAGATACTCCTTGCCGAGGTCTACAAGCGCCGCGCAAAGCCCCTACCAAATACTAATTCTAATACTAATATTAGTATTCCAATTCTTGACACAAGTCGCGAGCGAAATGTCGGCATAGTACTGAAGTTCCTCCGCCTTCCCATACAAACGATCGAGGCAGTCATTCGTCAGTTCGATAGGATCACCCTCGGTGAGGAACATATTTCAGGTTTGGTGAAGGTCATTCCAACCGCTGATGATTTTGCTGCGATTGAACGCTACCAGCGGAAGGTTGAGAAGCCGTGGACAACAACAGATCTTCTCAAACTTCCCACTCCTGTGAGATTTTTCTTAATGACGAAAAAAATAGACCACTACGAGGAGCGTATTCGGGCATGGATGCTCACGCTTGAGTTAGAACCCCGTGTGGATTTTTTGATGGATAAACTTCAGTGCGTCGATATTGCAGTACGGGCGGTGCTGGGGTCAAAATATCTACCAGAGATCCTCGCGTATATATTGTCGGCGAGTAACTTTTTGAATGCAGGAAGTCGGTATCAGAATGCGCAAGGCTTTCCAATCACACAAGTCATGAATATTATGAACTTCCGAACAACTGATGGGAAGGGGATTTTGCTAGAGTACGTTGTGACCTCGATTTCAAAAAAGGAGCCGGAACTACATCGTTTTGTTGATGAGATTTTGCCAAGCCTTGATCCTGCGCGAGGGGTGATCGTAGAAGATATCCACACTGAGCTCACGGCGTTGCGCACTCGTTTAAAGTCTTGCGGTTCTTTAGTTCATTCCATTACGCACGATCAGCGATGGACGGGGATATTAGGAAAGTTTATATGTCACGCTGAACCGCTTCTAGAAAAGGCAGAATGCCTCGCTAGTGATTTAAACGCACACATCAAACTTTTGCCCGACTTTTTTTGCGAAAATACCCAAAACTTCTCCCTAAACGATGTGCTCCGTGTCTTGTATGTCTTCTGCAAGAACTGGGAGACGGAGCGTATACGTCAGGAGGAAAAAGAGCAGCGTATCATGCGTATGAGCCATCATAAATGACGCACTCCTCCTGTAGACAGCAGGTAGAGAAGGTAAGCTAACACACACACACACACACAAAATTTAACTATTCTGAACAATTGGCAAATTGATTTTTTTTTTGCAGTTATTCCTATTTACTATATGTAGAAGCAACCAGAAAAAGGTGACTTCTAAATTTCCTGAATTCATTTCCCAATATAATGTGATAGTGACAATATTACAGAGGAATAAGGAGAGCAATGGGGTGAAGTTGCGGTTCTAAATTGTCAGGGGTTGATTCTTTGCACAGAGTTGTTGAGCAAGAATTTTGAGGGGGAACCTTTCCCTCTAAAATGCATAACTATTATTAGAAAAAACCTATCGAGATGTGCTGACGATCGTATAAAAATATGATTTCTGATATTTTTTTGCTTTTTATTATTGGTTAACTAACTTCTTCCAAAATTTGCTTGTAAAACAAACCTTTTTTCTCGCTCCAATCATCGTTATTTTTTTTCCAAAGTTTTCCCTCGAAGTTTTAATTTCGAGTGTGTTATTCCAGGTGGTATCATGCTATGGTTATCAACAAGTGTCACAGAGTACATATCTACGCTAAATGCTGAGGAACGTTACCTCAAGGTTATTTGGTACCACATGGATTAAATTTCTAAATAATATTTTATGCACCTTATATTCTATTTCCTTTAGGTGTATGAGAGTTTTATTTGATTTTGTTGAACATCGTACATTTTTTTATACAATTCAGTTATTGTCCTTTAATGGAAACTTGGCTTTAAAGCGGAAGGTTACAATTATAGTGTAAAGTGTGTGCAGTTTATGTTGTGCGCATGAGATTTTTCTTCCATTCTAATTTAGCGAAAATACTATTGCAATAATAATAGTGATAGAATCTCTGATCATGGAAAATACTAAACTATTCTAAAGAATAAACTCTATCATAATAAAATATCTAATATTCTACATTTTAATTTTCCATAGCTTTTCTATCATCATGTTCTTATTGTGATTTATTTTTGCTTCTGATATTTTTAGTTTTTATGCCTCAGATGATTGAACATCAATGAGAAAAGATAAAATAAACGAATTTTCAAAATTGCATCTTACCTTGTGCTCCTAAGGGTGCTATTTTGATCTATTTTTATTTTATATTCAATTCTATTTATTCTGCTGGTTCTCCTTGATTTTTTTCATTATAAAAATTTCATGACTGTAAAGTATATATTAATGTTGAACTAAGTTGTATAAATAAAGAATTACGAAACAGATTATAACTGGAACTGAAGGTTTATTAGCTTCTGTACGAAAATATATTCATAGCCATATATAATATAATATATATATATATATATATATATATATTATATATATATATATATAATATATATATATATATATATTATTATATATAATATTCAAATGGATACTAGGGAAAATGGGGGCAGTGGGAACGCACATAGATTACCAAACAAAGGTAGTGCTTCACCACAATTACACACTCCTGTGGTAGATATCCAGGGTAGTGGCATCCCCAACGCTGAGGTAACACAGAACTCCAGGCGTTTGTCAAATCCGACCCTTGAAAAACAGGGGAAAAAACGGACATTAAAAGGTTCCCCCAACCTTAGCAATCATCCAAAGATGTACGTCGTGAAGCTTAGATCGGGTTCGAATCGGACCGATTCCCCGGTGGGTCTTGAGCTGGGGAGGCCGGATAAGGACCCGCAAACAACGCTACCGACCCACTCCGAGAGCGAGGGGCGACCGCTCCCCCCCCCTCCCCTCTTCCCAACGGAGCTGCCAAAGGCGCCGGTGAAGTCTGGGAAGGTTGTGGTGGGGGGAATGACGCGCTCGCGTCGTTTCCCCCCCCAGCGGCTGCCTTTAAAAGAGGCGAAGCAGCTCCAGGCCTTTCCCACCATCGCCCCATCCTTGGAGAAAGTCACCGGGAGGATGGTGGAGGGGGCGGAGAAGAAGGCCGTCTCACTGGCCTTTTCGCGGGGGAATATTCTCGATCGAGTCGGTGCGCCCAACCAGGCGAAGCGGAGGCCGCAGGCGATGCCGCAGAATCCGCTCAGCGCCGCTAAATTACGGATGACGAGGGAGGCGAAAGTAACCTCGCCAGGGTTTGGCGAGGGCGGGCGAGCGGTGGGGAGCGCGCCCGATGCGCGTTTACCGCCTCCTTTGCTGGCCTCCGGGCTGACGGCGAAAGGGATCCCGCCGGCGTCCGGAAAGGCTCAGGGCGTAAAGCTCCCGCAGCTGGTTTACCTCCTCCCCTCTTTGACAGGGGCGTCGGAGACGGAGACGGGGACCCCGCCCACGTCGGACAAGGCGGAGTTGGCTTCCACCAGACCAGCCGATCCCCACTGCGGCGCCATGCCCAATGGCGGCAATGGAACTCTTTTAGGCGTGAATTCCGCGCTGGATGGGTTGGACCCGCTTTCACAGCAGCGGTACAATAGTGAAGGCGGGCCGAACGGGATTCCTTTTCACACCAACAACGACAAAGTCGGCATCGGTGCGATTTCCATGCAATCTATTGATGATCCTTTGTACCATTACCACCCGAAGCATCAACGCAACACCAACAACTCTGCGGATACTGGGAGTGAGGAGAGCTTTTCTTGTGATAGTGATAAGCTCACACCGTTACGCTTGCGGAACCCCGGTGATTATCACTCTTCCGTCTTGCATTTAAATGAGGAGACCCTCCATACAGGGCACAATACCGATGAAGGCTCTGAGATGAGCGTCAGGACGATGCGGCTGAAGGCTGAATCCTGGGGCTCAACGAACAATAGCGACCTCCGTTTTCCGCGCTTTAACCGCCTTCTTTTTACCCGGAATACAAAGGTGTACGCGTCGGTGGATTCCCTTAAACAGACTCTCAACGAGCTCAAGATTCCATACATACCAGAGCTTGACCACCGCGTGCTTACCGCGGATTTCAATACTTATAAACTTGCTGAGATTCACGGTACGTTCGTCTATGTGGTGTTGGCAATGAATGTGTTGCTAAGCTATGAGTTAGTGAATCGCTTCGGGTTCGATGTGCACAAGCTTCTGAACTTTATAAAAGAGGCGTTTACTTTTTTCACCACTGGAAGCCCTCTGCACCACTTCGTGCACGCCGCGGATATCATCGTGGCGGTTCACCAGTGGCTTAGCCAGCCCACCGTTGGCGCGAACCTCTCTGACGAGGAGATGCTGCCTTTTCTTTTCACTTCCGTGGTGATGCGGGTTGGGCACTGTGGCATGAGCAATCATTTCCTAACCCAGGAAAGACATCCATACATGATGATATGCGGCTGTACCGCCCCACAGCAGGGCGCCACCATGTCTCTCATCATCGCCCTTCTGGAGAAACCTGAAAACCACTTCTTCCCCTCAAACGGCGTGTTCACGGAGAGCCTAGAACATACACTCGCTCTTACCGACGAGTCCGACAGGCGACTTACGAGCGAATCATTTCGGGTGCACACGTGGAGCTCCGAGAAGGAGGATACCTTCTACGACATGGTCGCCGAGCTCATTATGGCGACGGACGAGCGCAGCTACTACAACATCCAGCGCAGTCTAGAGCAGATCGATCAGGATCACTTCGTCCGTCATGGGTGCATTTGCCCGGAGACGGACAGCGCGACGACCCCGATGGCCGTCCCGCGCGCGACGAACCATCTCCCGCAGAACCTGAATAAAGACTGCAAGCGGTGCTGCGCGTACATCAGCGATTCGCACCTGCCGACGGTGCTGTCGGCCGTCCTGCACATCCTGAACTACTCCTACGTCTTCCGCCCCTACGAGGTCTTCCTGCTGGGGAACGTCGGCTTCTCGTCGTCGATGTACCACCAGAGCGACCTCCATGACCGGATGAGAAAACCAGGGCCTCGCCTCCCCCTTTCCGCCGCGAAGGACGAGGACGGGAGGGGGAAAGAAAGAAGAGGGGAGCCGGCCTCCCCGGACAGGGAAAACGACAAGCGCAGCGGCAGCGGGTGCAGTAGTGGGCTGCGGTGGGTGGGGGCGGGGGTCACCGAGGCCGCGGGCTCCCCGGCCCCTGCGCAGGCCCGGCTGACCAGCACCTCGCCCGGCACGATCACCCCCGACTTGCGGTGGCCGCAGCTCACGCAGCAAACCACGGACTCCAGCTCCATCCTCGCGACCTCGGCGGAGAACGTCGGTGATGGCGAGATAGCCTCCTCCATCGGGGACCTCCTCCCACGCCGGCCTTTGCAATTCAAGGGCCGGAACATCCTCCTCCATGCCTTCGAGGAGATTCATTACCCGATGGTCCAGACCATCCAGCCCTACGTCCCCGCCGACTGGGTGCAGAAGTCGCACCACAACTTCACCCGCTTTCTCACGGAGTTGCCGACGGAGGAGGAGTACGACCTCATCCTGGAGCGCGTCCTGCAGTTGTGTGGGGTGTCGAGGATTGACGAGGGGCCTTGCGAAAACAGCGGAAGCTCCACCTCCACCAAGGATCGCGGCGTGCAGGACGAGACCAAGCCATCGCCCCTTCAGCGGCTTATCCAAGCCGTGGAGGAGATCGAGGTCGCGAAGCATATTCCATTTCATATCATCGATATCGCCGCATGGCCGAAGGGGAAAACAGGCCGAAGGAACCCTAACTCGCTGTCCATGGATGCAAAGATGGAGGTACGCATATTGAAGGAGATTTTGCACTCAAGTCTTGAGTTTATTGCAAGGGAAGGTGAATCAGAAAGCTGATCCCTTTTTCTCTTTTCTCCTACTAAAGGGTAATCGTGAGGATACCTTTTTTCGAGTTTATACGATGATATTACTTTCCGTTTATTTATAGAAGTTTTGATAGGTTTCTTTTTATATTCATTATTTTGGTATTACTACCATTAAAAAAGTTTTTATTGTGATATTTGCCTTTTAACCAGTGACGCACTGTGTGTAGATTTTCAGAGAGAGATGAAGAGTCGAAAATAGCCGACTTCTCTAAACAAGTGGAAAAAATTTATGATTTTAATGTTTGCTCTTTTTTTTTTTTTGACAAACAGGATGAGTAAAATCAAGAAAACATTTTGAGTTTTTTTTTCTTCATTTTCTTTTTAAAAAGGAGGTTCGCGCGGCGAATAAGATGGAAGGACAGGTTCCAAAAAATATAATAAACCAAATTGGAAAGAAAGAGTTACAATTTGGTCCAAAGGCGTAATTATATGGGATATGCAAAATAAAAGGTTACGCTCTTTTTAAAAAGTCAATTGTATTTTTGACGACTGATTTTTAGTCAATTTTAAATAATGAGTATCCCGAATTTAGTGTGAAAGTTCTTCTAGACTGCTTTCTCATCTACTATTTTTATCATTTTCTTCTATTATTTTGATAGAATTTAGAATAGAAGGGAGTTGGATAAACCAATGAATCCAAAAAAACACTGAATTCTGTACCCTTTCTTTTTTCTTTTCCAAAAGCTTTTAGGAAATGAACGTAGTTTAAATAAAACTAAAAATCTAATAAAAATTTGCTGATTGTTTTTTTTCATGTTGTATTTTTATAATTTCTTCCCACTACATTTATTACTTATTCCTTTACCATATCACTTTTTGCTATTTATTATTCATTATCAAACTCAATATCAAAACACATCATCTTTGATTCATATTATTTTAACACTTGACTCAGATCAATATATGAATTTATCGATTTCCTTTGTGAATTGGAAACTCATAGATGATGTTTTAGTTTTTACGAAACTTGTATGGAGAGTGCTTTTAGCAGTTGAGCAAAAGTATGATCACAGTTTTATGAATTCATGAAAAACTTATGGGGGAGATGAACCGAACTATTAAAAAAAAAACTACAATGAGGTTTGGATCATCTTCCTTCATTTTAGTTAAGACACTTAGTGTCGTCATGATAGCAAGCATTTTTTTTCAAATTTCAACTCATCTGTTTTGCTATTCTCCAGGTATAAGGTCGTGGGTTTCACAGGTAAGGATTAAATATAGCTGAGTTATCACTTTTGTAAGTGTTATCCCTTCCAAGTGCATAAATATACTTCATAGTAAACCGTAGAAAGATAAAATTTGCTAAATTAATACAGATTATCGAGCAGTACGCGACTTGCTTCCTTTCATTTTATTTTCTACGTTTAAATTAGAAACGAAAATCTTTTTCAAGTAAACTGTTTCTAATTTTGTAACATAGGTACGGTTTTAAAACGTTACATCTCATCTTGTTTGTCTATTTTTATGTGTGTACTCAGTTTATGCTTTTAAGAATCGTTATGTTGTTTGCGAAGGGTGAAAAGGGGCGGAAATCAAGACGAATAATCCAAAGTTAAAACATATTTAGTAAGTTAAATATAATAAATTAGCCTCTAGTGTGATATCCACTTTCTATCAATTTTACATCTATTCGTCTGTTTAAAGAGATTCCTCCCTCACACTCTTCTTATTTAGACTTTTACCTTTTATGTGATACGTTCATTTTTCAGATGTATAAGAAGATATATCCGATTTTTTTATCATTTTTTTTTCAAGAGTATTCATATTACTCGTGATATGTCCTTTTTTTATGTCAAATTTCTAATAATATTTTAGTAGATAGCGTAGCAACAACATTATTAATAAAGATGATAATAACATTGAACCTGAATTCAAGAAAAGAGTAATTACCATTTAATTAAACTTACAAAAACAAACAAACAACAACATCAACAGAAAGGGTATTGCCATGAATTGTATCAGTATTCTTTTTTTTCAATTATTGTTTAAGACTATTTCGTTTGGATTTTGTCTATCCATGATTAAATAAAATGACTTAATGCGTGTACGGCATTTTCTCAAAAGTCATTTCGATTTGTATAGATAAAAGGAAACACTTTATATATATATATTTTCCTGATACATTATATTTTTCATCGATATTATTTCTTCCAAATGTGCATTACACAAGTTGATTTTGGCTTTATTAGTGAGAAAGCGACTCGTTCAGTAGAAGAGGATGTGGTTCTATTCTTTCTTTCTTTTTGTGTGTAAGTAGGAGAGGGTACTGGATGGAATACGACTCAATATAATAATAAACGTTACAGAAGAGAAAAATACAGAAAAAAATGCCAATGAATGGACTCAGCGGATAGTGCTGGAATATTATAAGCTCTAAGATTTATGATGATGATTCTAATGTTGCCTGCGTTGTCGCCTCGAATCCCGGCGGGACCACGGTAACTTCTTCTTGTGTGCCAACCTCAACCTATGTTCCCCCGTTGTTCGTTCTTCCACCACCCCGCTAGATCAACCATCCAAGCGGTTTTTTCTCATCACACCACCACCCACCACCAACCACCACCACTTTTATTTTTATTTTTACTTATTATTATTATTATTCCTACGCTTATAGGCGGCCCCCCCGAGCCATCCCCGGCTATCCCGACGCCCATCCCCCGACCCTGACCCTTGCGAGTTTGGCCTTTGTGGGAATGTCCTCGCCGCGCGCGACCCCCCCCCTGTGCGACCTCGACGCGACCTGGGGCGACGTCCTCGGGGACTTCCGCGCCGCCCTCGCGCAGCTGCCGACCTGGGGTTGCTTTTATCTGGAGGACATGGACCGCGAGCTGATCCTGTCCGCGCCGGAGGTGATGGACGCCAAGACGGACGCCGGGCACGGCTACGCCGGCGTTCGCTCCCTTGCGCGGCTGCGCGCGAGCGGCGCGCTGCCGCCGCCGCCGGGCCTCGACGACCCCGCCGGGCTGCTCGCGCTGATGGACCACCTCCACCTGCGCGAGCTGGCCTACCTGCGAGGCTACTCCCTCGTCCAAGGCTACCTGGGCTTCCCCTACTTCTTCGGGATGGCGGGGCTGCGGGCGGCGTCGCCGGTCCTCTACGCGTACTGCCAGGGGCTGCTCGCCAGCCTCGACGGCGTCCTGCGCGCCGTCTTCACGACGGCCATCCGCAGCGAGGAGGAGTTCGTGGCCCCCCCGCCCGAGTTCGACCGCCGCGTCGACGGCGGGGTGGAAGGGGCGCTGCGGGGGCTCGAGGAGGCCGCGAAGCTGCCCGGGGTCGGGCCCGAGATCGCCGCGCGGCTGCGCTGGCGGGCGGCCTTCCTCGCCGCCTGGGAGGGTTTCCTGACCGCGCAGGAGCCCGGCGACGTCGTCGCCGCCTCGGCGATCGCCGCGCGGGCCGCCGCGATGCTCGACGCCGCCGTCTTCCAGCGCGCCGATGAGCCCGTGGTCGCGGACGGCCTCCAGCGCGAGCGCGAGACCGCGTTTTGGGTCAACGTGATGGTTCCGACCCGCCCGCTCGCGGCGATCCCTTTTGCGGAGGGGATGGCGGCCTACCGGACGATGCTGCGCCAGCTCGCGTCGCTTGGGGTGCTGCCGGGGCTGCTTGGGCTTCGCTCGGTGGTCGATTTCGTCGAGAGCTTCGCCGCGGAGCAGCCGCTGCTGCCCGTTCGCTGCGTCGCGGTCGCCGTGCTCTTCAGCCACGACGCGAACGAGTCGTTTCTCTACGGGCCCTCCATCCAGAGCCGGATTCTCCACCAGCTCGCGCGCGACTACGGGTCCCCGCTTTATGATCGCATCCTCGAGGGCGACGAGGCGATGTTGGAGGGGGTGGTGCGGTATCGAATCCACAAGACGATGGACCCGCTTAAGGTGACGCCGGACCAGATGCTCCAACTCCGCCTGCAGACCGTCGAGGTCCTCCGGCATTGGGCCACGGAGGCCGGGAAGTGCATTTTGGTCCACCTGGAGACGATGCTCTGCAATCGCGGGCTCGCCCATCAGCGCCTGCTCGGCGCCATCGCCGGCCTCGCCAAGTTCCAGGAGCTTTCCTACTCGACCGATATCACGTTTTTCACGGCCATGCAGCCCGGGGTGGGGCCCACGGCCGGGGCCGAGGTCATGAACCTGGGGACCGTCCTCACTTTCTTCGCGAATAGCTACGTCCTGCGGACGATGGAGCTGGTTTTGCAGTTCCAGGTGGAGCTCGACCTGCTGAGCCCGGGCGAGATCCTCCCGGCGCTGTGGTATATCAACTTCATCCAGCGCGCCCAGATCGAGAACTTCTCGCAACTCTACCTGCAGAGCACCACCAAAATTCCCGAGATGCGAATCAAAAAGAAGACCCGGGTCCCGCTCTACAACCTCGCCCTGACCACTCGCCGGGCGGGGGTGCCGGATGTCGTCCGGATCAACCTCCTGAGCGCCGCCCGCATGCTGACCGACACCGTCTTCCTCTTTGCGTGTTTGGTGGAAGGAAAAGGGATGATCGACTTCGCCCGGGCCCCCCCGCACGCGCTGATTTCCGTCGAAAACACCTTCAACCACCGCATGCGGGAGTGTTTCGGCCTCATCCGCAGCCCCCCGCTCTCGAGCTACGCGCAGTGCACCAAAGCGCGGCCGGAGCTCACCGGCGAGGACGTCGCCCCGCGGATCCCCGTCTACGCGCAGAACGCCAGCGACGTCGCCAAGCGCGCGGCCGCCAAGGCCCGGGGGATTTTACAACAACTCACGGGCAATGGCGCCGAGCCGGCCCGGCTGAACGCGATGCGGGCCACCCTCGAGGGCTTCGAGCGCGCGGCGAACACCACCGCGGCGGCCTTGGGCGCCTTCGCCGCGATCTGCGAGGACCCCAAGCGCCTCGCGGAGCACATCGCGGTCGTGGAGAAGCCGGGGCTGCCCTATTTGTTAAATATCGGCATCCAGAAAAGGGTGAAACCGCTTAACGTTAGTAATAGTTAGATAATAATGGTGAATAAAAAGGTTCAGAGGGGGAATGGAGAGGGGGGGGGGGGGAAGGGATAAAAAAGAGTCTCGTCTTTCCTTTTCTTCTTCTCTTCTTCTCTTCTTCTCCCTCGATTAGGGAAGGGGGTACAGGGGCGTCTAAATTCATCTCTTATATAGTTAGGCTTTTTAAATATTATATATTCTTTATGAGTGAAGAATGCTAAAGGTTTTTTTTTATATACACATGAATTTTGCTTTTGGGTGATACTGGATGGGTAGGGGAGGATGAAAAAAGGTGAATTGATTGGTTTTGTATTTCATTTACATACACACAAAAAATAACAAAAAGTAGTGTCTATTCCGTTAGGATTAATTAGATGTTTAAACAATGAATGTAAAAACGATAAAGAAGATCCATGCTTCATCTAATAATTCTTAAACTACTTATTAACATATAAAAAATATCTATATCTATATATTTATATATATCAATCGATCTATCTATATATAATATTATCCACCTATGAGGAAGCTCAACTGAAGGGTGTGTATGTGTGTGTGTATGGGAACTTATCTAGGTAAAGTTGTAAGAATGAAAACTGAGAATTTACTAACTTTTTATATGTATGAATAAGTGTTTGAAAGTCCAGTACTAGCTTGATGTAGTAGTTTTTAATATAAAATTTGCATAATTATAAATAAACAATGCATAAACACTAAGATTGTAATATAAGAACACATTTGATTACTCATTGAATCAATACTGTGGATTTGATAATTGCTGTTAAGGCTATTTGTAAAACAACAACAACAACAACCCAACTGCTAAAACGAGATTGGTTTTCCGAATTCTAGCAAACCCCTTGACATTTTTTTTTTACATTTTTTAACCCTTTTCATGCATCGCGACATTCGGAATGTAAGGTGCATTCTTTTTTTTTATTCACCCTTATAGCATAGCCCTAGGATCGATCGATATTTATGGATAGCGCGATCTGAACGTCATTGCGATTGCACGCCTTTAGGATGTTTATAAAGTATTTTGCGTGTGGGGCGCTTTGTGGGGCATTTCTCGGTGGATTGCATTGCAGGGAACTCGTGGCGGCGAGCTCGAGGGAGCTGCGGGAGTACTACGCGAGCATTACGGATTCCACCGATCAGCTCAAGGCAATCGAGGAGCTCGTTGGCGTGAAAGGGATTTCCGTTCGCGAGCTAATCGAGTTTAACTCTTCGTCGGATAGCACCAAAAAGGCAAAAAGAATTACTTATATCTTTCCGTAGAAGGTAGTGGAGTGGGAACAACAAAACGAAAGAGGAGGTGAATGGGAGAAGTAGAGTTGGGGATTGACTTTTTATGGTTAACAGTTCCTTTTGGTTTGCATATACTTTCTGTATGATTATTCTCCCCCCCCCCCCAATAAAGAATAAAAAGGTGAGAATAGGGTCTATGTTTGAAGTTTAACCTATCTATAAATTTTCTCAGTCCCCAATTTTTATTTTCTAATTTTATATAGTGATGCACTGCTCTATCAAAAATAACCGGTTTTGTCATCATTTTTCTAGAGCGTTTGGTTTTTAAGATACAAGGGTTCATAAGAACGTTGACCCTTGTTTAGGTATTTCGATAACTATTTTCAGCCGCATTGATAAATAAAAAAAAAACACACATCATAGAGGTGTAGGGATAGACTTATAGTATCTTTTTTTTTCTTAATATAATATTTCTCGATATTTGCTTTATCGTTTTACTAGCTAAATCGTTTACTTTATGCTTCAGATAAGCAACTTTTTCTTCCAAACTAATCTTGTACTTTATTAGAGGTTTCCCACGCTCACGTACGGCGCGTGTGGCTCTCCTCATCCCCGCAGCAGCACACCGAGGCGTTGGAGTAAAG